GTGGGGACATGTCGCAGGAAGAAAAATCAGAGTTGCTCATGTCTCTGATCACAGTCAAAAAGTCAGCAGATGATTTGGTGCCTGCAGACATAGCTCACCAAGCACTCCAAGTGATGCCCAGTGATGAAGTTAAGGCTGATTTCGAAGCACTGTCAGATCGATTGAACAAACTGATGATGGAGGAGCGCTACAAGGAAGAGGTGACCAGGAAGACTGGCACAAAGCAGGCGGTTGAGCGCTTCACACCGGAATGTTTGAAGACTCTCAAGCCGGCGTACAAAGGAGTGATCTTACATTTGGACCTTCCCAAGAAGTCCTTCGAAGCATATTATCCTGCAGGAAAACCCACCAGGAGCACTTCAATGAGTTGGGAAGGCCCCAGAGTTGAAGCAGCAGGACGATCCAAACTCTCAGCTTTGATGTACTGCGTTGAGTTTCTATGGCGGAATCATGAGTTGAAAGAACGTGTTCCTCAACTCAATTCAAAACAACTTTTCCATTCCATTGGCAAATGTTTGGTTTCTCATGGTCAAAAGCACTAGTTCTAAACCTAGTTGAGCTAGAGCCTCTGTTTCTGGCGAACGAATCAAGGACATGAGTGGAAGACCGACCAGGCAACAGGTGGAGACAATCTTGGTACAAGCATTTGCTGAAATTGAGAGTGCCCAGTTTGAATTTAGTTTACGATTGTAAGTCAAAAAAAGATGACGACCAATCGTCAGGCGGTGAGCGAGTTTCCAACCCGAAGATTGAGGATGAGTTGTTTAGTGGCAGTGGTTCCCTCTCCAGTGATCATGAGAGCGAGTCTCTTTTTGGAGACAGGAAGAGGAAGAGGGAGAAAAAGAAAAAAAGAAAGAAAAGAAGAGAAGCAAGAAAGATCAGACTTCAAAAAAGAGGTCGAAATCATCAAAGACTAAAAGGAAGTCTAAAGACTGAGACTCTCAGGATTGCAAATGAAAAAAGGTGCTGTCAGCGTGAAGGGAAAGCAGGAGAGTTGGGATACCTCATGTTCATTTACATTCACTCTATGTGTAGCCCCTGATTCTCTTATTTGCCAAGATATTAGCTTTACAGAACCAGGGTATATAAGCCTTATAGAAGGGATATATAAAACTTAGATTTGGATATATGTTTCCTGACCTCGGATTCAGTCACCTGCAATCTTCCTTGAAGTGACCGCGAGAAAGCAGCTAAGGACAAGGCCAAGCGTGAGGACAAGCCCCAAGACAAGCCCGAGAGAAAGGAAGAAGGATCAGGAAAGACCGAGAGCCCCCAAACAGCCAGTCGACCAGCCGAGCCCCGTACAAGACCAGCCGAAAGCCAGAAGAACCAGCATCTCCAGGCAACAAGCCGCCCATCCAGCTCCAGTAGGGCCAGTGGTAAGCCGGCCCTACCTCCTCCTCCGCCAGCACAGCGACATCTCAAGGGAGCCGACAGAGGCTACAGCTCCCAAACAGTCCGGGTGCCCCGGCCGAGCCATAGAGATCCAGACCCCACAGTTGAGCGATCCACAAAGCCAGTGACCACCTCAAGAGCAGTCGAACTCCTCCCGCACCAGCAGTTGAGAGTGCAGGAGAGCTTGAGGAGCCCCGTGAAACCAAGCGGGACAGATCCAGGAGGAGGAAGAAAAGGGAGAGGTCAAGCTCCTCTCCCAGCTCAAGAGGCAAAGAGAAGAAGAAAAAGAGGCGAGAGCGCCGAGACAGAAGGGAGAGAGAGCGTCGAAGGAGGAGGTCCCGATCCGGAAGCACGTCAGTGACCGGACCCCGGGCGAGAGAGGCCAAGCGAACAGAGGTGGCCAAGGTAAAGTCACCAGCCCGTCCGCCTAGCCCACATACACCCCCAGGGCCTCCGCCTGTGCCCCCGCCAGTGCGACAGCCAGGAAACCGCCCGTGAGGAATCCAGGGCGTCCAGTCGCGCGCCAAGGCCCTGGTTGGATCGGGAGAGTGCCCTGGTCCAGCCACCCTAGGTGGTGGGTTGGGAAAACAAAGGAGTGACGCGCAGAGCGAAGCAAGAACTTTACAACCGGAGGAGATAATGCCACCCCGTGCCAGGCCTGCCATTAGAGCACCAGCCCCGCGGAAGCGACCTGCCAGGCATGCAGGGGCAGATGAAAAGGTTACCCGACTGCACTATTTCAGGGAGCTCGCCGCCGTGCAGTTGAGGACCCTGGGTTTGATAGAGCTTGCGCAAGCCTCCTACTATGAGGGGCACATAAAGTTGGCAGGCTTTGTGGAAGGGCTTGGAAAGGATGAAGGATATTTGAGCTTCCGAGCCACTGGCACTCAGTCAGACCACATGACGGAGCTCCTGTCCGACCCTCAGAAGCGCATCTTTCAGCTGCATGTCTGTGAGCCTGGTTGTGGACGAAAGGAGTCAGGCCCGGATGTCATCCATGCGGCTGGATATTGGCTGGTTGAAGACGAGAGGAAACCGTGGCAAACTATGTACGAGGAGGAGGACAAGAAGCCGCAGGCAGAGGATGAGATGAGCAAGCTTCGAACAATGCATGAGGAGCGAAAGAAGAAGGAGATAAGGGAGGAGACGCCTCCCAGTGAGGAGAGTGAAAAGAAGGCAAAGAAAAAGAAGAAGAAGGCAAAGGAGAAGGAGAAGAAGGTCAGCAAGCCTTCAGCGAATGATCTTTGGAGGCACTTGCCTTGACCCCGAGGTGAACGCAAGATTGAAGCTGCTGAAAAGGGCGCGAAGGTTCAGCAGTAAGGGCTCCAAGAAGAGGAAGCAATCAAGTGATGAAGAAGGCAGCAGCTCGTCCTCCTCTGGTGACAGTGACGATGAAGAGCTGGAGGAGGGGCTGTTTGAGGAGCGAAAGAAGGCTTTGCGGCTGACGAGGCGCTTCCCTGGCAGCTTGGCATGTCAAACGATTGGCAGCATGAAGGAAGCCATGCTGACGTCTGCTGGGACTCTTCACTCGCAAGATTAGAGGAGCCTCCCGCCGCTTTTTTCGCAGTACTTCAGGTCCGAACTACAAGGACTATGTGGGCCCTCGATGTGTCAGGAGCTGTTGACATTATGCCAGGGCGCTGACCTGTTGCTCCAAGGGCATGTGGCTCGCACTGTGGACCTGCTGGCCCAGCGGGTGAAGGCGCTGGAGCAGCAAGCTCGTGGAGGGCACTGGTCCGTAGCCCGCCAGCTTGAGCTGGTTTCGGCTGATGCGGCGGGCCTAAGTCAGGGACCTGAATCAGCGGAGGCAGAGCTACGCAATAGGCTAGCCTCCCAGAGACCCTATGGATCTGCCGGGCGAGATCGAGGTGAGGCACCAAGTGGCAGGGAAAAGATCGCTATGTCCCCCTCAACGAAAAAGGAAAGAGTGAAAAAGGGAAGAAAGGAAAGGGGAAGAGCAAGCAGAAAGAATGACGTCAAATTCGACGATAGAGGACATCGTTGAGAGAGGGACAAGTGGAGGTTTGGAGATGGCAGAGGCACAGAGGAGGCTGGATGAGGTTGAAGCTGAGGAGATGCATGTTGAGGCTGGAGACAAAGAGGAAGCAAAGGCAATAGACTGGTTGTTGGAGGATTGTCGAAAGAAGGGCTTGAGGCAGAGAGAGGACGTGAGCAAGAGGCAGCGGATTGGCACAGCGCCATATGAGGTTTTGACAAGGGAGCCGCAGGGCTCCCAGTGCGATGTCGTAGGACACGTTGCATTGGGCACGCCTGAAGGCGGTGAGTTGACGTTGGTTGAAGAGGATTTCTCCAAAAGGGAGCGGGCCTCCCAGCGCTCAGGTCGGTGGTTGGCCGTTGACAGGAGTGCACCGGGAGGAGAAGCTTCAGATGGATGTACCTCCCTGCCCCCGGGCAGGTTGAGAAGGACGGTGCTGGACTCAAGCAGACGGCAGGCGTTTGAAGAATGCCGTCATCACCTTGCTACAGCATGTCGAAAAAAGAGTATGACTTTTGAGGAGCTTGGGAAGGTACTTTTAGAGGCGTTGAAGGTGCAAGATCAGATATTTGCGCGTTGCAGCGAGACCAAAGGGGACCTTTTCCCCTTGCCCCTTCCATCGTCTCTGAAAGCCTTAAATTCCCAGGGTTCTTTTGCAGATGCATTGGTGCAAGCATTGAATTCATTGTATGGGACAAGGACCATTGAAAGGTTGAGAGAGGACAGAACGCGGTTGAATATGGTTGATAGGTTGTTGAAGGTGGTTGAGGAGTCAGAGTTGAGAGGGTGTGAGGTACCACATCTTGACTTTGGGGAGTTCTTCAAAGCCCGCTCGGTAGATTACTCCGGTGAGGTCGTACAAGTCGCACGTCGATTCGAGTGGCGTATGGTGGAGGCGGCTTTCCCCGAGGCGGTAGGCAGTTTAGAGCTGGAAGAGTTCTGTGCAGGGGGGACCCTGGCCTATGTGAGGAACTTTGAAGAGTTTCTCTTGCCGCCTCAGGATCAGCACTTGGGAAAGGCGCCCAGCATCATGGTGGAGGCCCGCCACTGGGCTGAGGTTTGTTCCGGGCTGGTTCGTCGGGGTGTGTGTCGGCTCATGCATGTCAGCGAACTACATCATATAGGAGGACGCCCTCTGTTGAACGGGCTGTTTGCAGTTAGCAAGCAAGAACAGGCCACTGATGCTCGGGGAGATGTTTTCGAGGTCTGTAGACTTATCATGAACCTCGCGCCGACCGATGGATGCTGTAGAAGCTTGATAGGAGACACTTCAACTCTTCCGAGTGTTGTAGGCATGTCGTCGATCGTCCTTGAAGACAGCCAGTTGTTGGTGACATCATCGGAGGATATTAGGTGCTTCTTTTATTTGTTCCGGACACCGCCCAGCTGGTGGAAGTACATGGGGTTTGGACGGGAGGTTCCCAGTGAGGCCCTCCCAAGTGGCTATACTGGTGGTGGGTGGCACCTGGTTACTCAGGTGTTGCCGATGGGGTTCATCAACTCCGTGGCCATCGCACAGCGCATGCATAGGAGGGTGATCGACCAGGCTCTAAAAGGAGGATCGCGGTTGGCCTCAGGGCACCAAGAGATTAGGCGAGATCGACCGTCAAGCAGTGCACCACACCTTTTTCGGGTCTACTTAGATAACTATGATGAGCTCAAGAAGGTGGATCGGTGGTTGGCCGAAGTGCTGGCTGGCACTCCTTCTGCTTGGACCCTTGCAGTGAGGCAAACTTATGAGACGCTAGGTCTACCCCGACATCCGAAGAAAGCTGCAACTCAAGAGGTCAAAGCTGAGGTGCAGGGCGCATGGGTAGATGGAGATCTAGGTAGGGCCGGGCCCAAGCCGGATAAGGTGATGAGGTATGTCAGGCTGGCGTGTGAGGCCGTGATCCAGGGCAAGGCATCGCAGCGTGAGCTTCAGGTCATTGGAGGAGGTTTCGTCTACATTGCCATGTTTAGGCGCCCTCTCTTGGCAGGCCTGAATGCCATCTGGAAGCGCGTGGTTGCGTTGAGTGACTTGAAGCCCACCCAAAGGGCGTCCCTTGGGCCGGAGGTAGAGCATGAACTCCTGCGTTTCGTTGCTCTGATTTGCTTGGCTTTCATGGACTTTCGGACGCCAATCTCAGAGAAGGTCACAGCAAGTGATGCTTCCACCACAGGAGGTGGGCTATGTGTGTCTCGGCAGCTAAGCCCATATGGAGTCGCCGCAAGCATGGCCAGTTGTAGGGCCCGGGAGATGTGATCTCCCAGGATGAGGTTGGTTGCATCTTGGATGTGTCCTTGTTTGATGGGATTGGAGCGCTGCGTGTTGCCGTTGACTCATTGCAGGTACCTGTGGCAGGGTACGTGTCTGCTGAGATCTCACCTGAAGCCCGGAGGGTAGTTGAAAGTTGGTTTCCCGAGGTGATAGCCATTGAGGATGTGCAGCGCATTGATGAACAGGAGGTCATTAGCTGGTGTCTGAGGTTTCCGGGGGTTTGCGCAGTGCTGTTAGGAGCGGGACCTCCGTGTCAGGGGGTGTCGGGATTGAACTCGGATCGGAGAGGCGCCCTGCGAGATGTACGGTCCTGCTTGTTTTCCCATGTTCCCAGGATCGAGGGGATGATCAAGCGACACTTCACCTGGTGTCCAACCTACACCCTCATTGAGAACGTGGCTTCCATGGATGCCAAAGATTGTCGAATCACGTCGGAGTCGTACGGCTTGGATCCTTGGCTAGTGGACGCAGGAGGTTTGTCGTTGTGTCGACGCCCCCGGTTGTACTGGTTCAATTGGGAACCTAGGTCACTCGTTGGAGCCACAGTTATCAAGGAAGGAGATCATCGGCTTCCGTTAGCAGGTAGCATTCAGCTTGAGGCCACGTGACTACATTGAACCAGGTTGGAAGCTCAACTCGCGGAACCGCTTTCCGACGTTCGCCACCTCTCGTCCATCAGCAACGCCCGGTCGGAAGCCTGCGGGGCTAGCTCTATGCCCGCCTGACGCTGTGACCAGGTGGCACGCTGATCACACGTTCCCGCCGTACCAGTATCGATGGGAGAACTCTGTTAGCAACTCCCAGGGTGAAGTGCGTGTTCCATCCACGTTGGAAAGGGAGGTCATCTTGGGCTTCCCATCTCAATATACCGCCAAATGTCTCCCAAAGGCAGAGGTTGGGAGCGCACACTACAATGACGTCAGGCTTTCGCTCTTGGGCAACAGTTGGTCGGTTCCTGTGGTGGCCTGTTTGTTGCATGGCTTGTTTGCTACGCTTGGGTTGAACGAAGAAAGGACCATCCAGGACATTGTGGACCAGCTGACTCCAGGAAAGTGTTCCACTATGGCAGGTCTGCTTATGCGTCCACCAATTCGCCACACGACGCGACCAGGACAGGAGACCCATGGACTTGTCAGAAAACTCTTGGGGCAGGTGTCTGTCAAGGGCGAAGATATCTTGCTTCAGTTGTCTACCGACATTCCGGCTCGTTATCACAGGTTGCGTGCGTCGATACCTGGCAAGTTGTGGCGCTGGCGTGACGTGGTTGGTTGGCACTGGACAGGTGAGCCTGAACATATAAATGCGCTTGAACTGCGTGCGGTGAAAACCACCCTGGTGTGGAGAATTAAAGAACTTCAAGAGTTCGGCACCAAATGCCTGCATCTTGTTGATTCGCTTGTTGTTCTTCACGCCCTGTCGCGTGGTCGACCCAGTAGCCGAAAACTTCGAAGGGCTCTTGCAAAGATCAGTGCGTTGCTGTTGGCTAGCGGGCTTCATGTAGCCTGGGGCTACGTTGATACAAAGCAAAACCCGGCGGACAAACCGTCCCGCCGGCCCATCAGGAAGGGATGGCTAAAAGCACGAAGAAGATAGTTGAAGGCCGCAGCAAACAGCAACGTCAACAAGTTCGCAAGAGTCTAGGCAAGTTGAAGGATCTTACAGTTCAGCCGCGTACTCGTCACCGTTATGATCAGTCTCTGCGCCAATTCCTTGATTGGCTGACATGCCTACAAAGGCCTCCCAGATGGACAACCTCGTCTCCGACTACTTGGAATTCTTGTGAGCAAGTGGTGAGGGCAAATCGGTCGCCAAAAACGCCCTCGCGGCGCTGCAAGACCATGACCCCAACCTCAAGAAGAAACTCCCCGGAAGCTGGCGCCTCATGAAGGCGTGGAACACTGCAGAGATCCCTAACAGGGCTCCGCCACTAACGCTGACTCTGCTCAATGCTTTGTGTGGCTGGAGTGTACTCCAGGACTGTCCTGAGTTCGGCCTTTCACTACGACTTGCGTTCTTCGGCTTGTTGCGCACTGGCGAACTTTTAACTGTGCGGGCCAGAGACGTGTACCTCACTGCCCCAAAGGGCCCAGCAGTGATTTCCCTCGGACTCACGAAGTCCGGCGCCCGACAGGGTGCAGCCGAGAGTGTGACTATTCACGAATCCTCAGTACTGCCGGGTTTGTACCGCTGGAAATGTCAAGCTAAGCCAACTGACTTCCTTACTGTGAAACCCCATGCCTGGAGACGATTGTTTAACCAAGCCATTGAGGGCCTCAAACTCCAGGACTATGCCTACCGACCATACTCCCTCCGGAGAGGGGGGGCCACCTTTTTCTTTCAGCGCCACGGCAGTTTCGACCGCCTTCTAATTCAAGGACGGTGGGGAGCCGCGAAAACCGCTCGAATACACTTGAACGACGGGCTCGCCCAGCTGTCCGAAATTTCTGTCCCTACTTCAAAGCTGAAGTCCTACCTTTCCTTGTATCATAAACACCCAATGCTTGAGCCTGGGCCCCGGAAGGCGCCCAGGCCAGGGGGACGTGGAAGGTCTGGAAAACCATCTCATCAGCAATTTTTTAAATCAGACTCTGGACAAAAATTGACTCTGGGATATTCATAATACATAGCTTCGCCGGACATC